CATTCGTTCTCTTCATAATAAGTTAAATTAACTTACACTTGACATATCAATAGATTTTTCCTTTATTACTAATGCGCATTTAGGAAAAAGAAGTTAAAGAAATCTATTGCGGTGGGCCATGTACTGAGGACGATGCATGCATTAGTATTAATCACACGCCAATATCTCTATTAAGGTAGGCCATGCAGTACTGAGGAGGATGTATGTGAAGCTGCTGTTGCCAGGTGTCTCTGTGCCACTATTCATCCTTGTCTTGTCTTTGTTCTTTCTTCATGTTCTATCTTTTCCTGCCCTTTTTTGCACTCTTCCTCCGTTTTTTTCCCCTGACCGGCACAGCCAGTCAACCAGCTGCTTTTGCTAGTTTATCCCGGTTTGTTGATTGGTTCCCTGCATCCCCAATTCCTTTGGAGAGAATGATAGTGAAGTTCAAAAGAGAAAATTAATAATAATTAGGTTCCTTTTTTAAAAAAAATCAGTTATAAATATCCATTTAAATAATTATAAATTTAAAAGTTCTAGTTATAAATACGATATATCTAAATTTTAAATATAATAATTAGTTTGCAATTTGAATTTTTATTTATAATTATTTAAATTAATATTTATAATTTATTTTACAAAATATTTTGTTAAGGCCTTAACTGTCATTAATTTATGTAACATCCTAAAAATTAACCTAAATTTAATTAAGTTAATCTAGATTAAATGAGTAATTTTGGAGGAATATTTAAATATGAATAATTTTAATTAAAAAATTATTATTGAATTAAATTTAGATTAAATCTTAAGTTATGATTTTATAGTAAATAAAAATAATAATAATAATATTAAAAAAAGGAAGAAAGAAAGAAGAAGGAAAAAGAAAAATAAAAATAAAATAAGAAGGGAATGGAACGTTGATTACATTTGTGCGTGTTAGAGATATATATTTATATATACACACAAATTAAAGGAAGGGAAGGGACGTGTGTGTGTATTAGATATATATATATATATATATATTTATACCAATTAGGCGTTGGTGTGCGTGCATATAATTAATAAAGAAAAAGGGGGGTTGCCACTGAATGACCTTCGCATGTAGCATTATTAATATATATAAAAAAATATAAGAAAAATATGTGGAACCCACGCCCATTTTAAACACACACACAAGCCCTTTTCATTTGTCCTGATCTTTCTTCATCTCTCCGTGCGCGCAACAGAAGTGCGAAAAAGAAAAAAAGAACAGAGCAAGAGCGTCGCTGCCAATAGGAACTGTTTAAAAAGTAAAGCTCTATAGTAAGATATTTTAGATGAGATTTTAAATATTCTAAAACTAGGTAAGTGTTATAAACATTTTTTTTTAGTCATTTTTCCCTTTGAGCTGCAGATTCTGAGATTTTAAAAAACCTATGGTTTGAAAGAGGGATGAATTTTGATGAGTAAATCTGATTATTGAGGTTGTTGGTGGTGTAATAAATATTTTAGAGTATTATTTTATTGATAGAATTGGAATATGAGGCATTTGTGTTTATCCCTAGATCCCTATGGGTAGATTTTTGGTTAAATCTAAAAATATAAATTGATTTATTGATATTTAGATGATTAATTGAGATGAGAAATAAATTATTATGACTATAGAATAATGATTCTAGGCTTGAAATTAAGTTTACAATTTTTGAATATTTTTATGTGCGAATTTTTGGAATAAAAAGGAAAATTTTAATATTAGAAAATTATTTGAATGAAATAATTGTGAAGGAGACTATTGAACCAAGTAGATAGGTTCAAATACGTGAAATTAAATTTTAGAACTCAAGAGGTTAAGACTAAGGTCTTAAAAAAAATAAAATAAAATAAATACTTAGGTGTTAGAATATGAGTGAAAATTGTGTTAATAATATTATTGACATATTGGGATATGATCAATTGTAGATTAATTTTCTTTTGACACCATTCAAGCTTTGAAAAGCTTTGAAAATGTTGTAACTTAAGGGGTAACCTTTGACCTCTCAAAGGTTGAGGTAACCAGGGGAAATCTATTTTATGCATTTATATGTTACTTAATTAATTATGTTGGTGAAATAAAAGAATATAAATATATATATATATATATGTCTAAATTTTGAAATGGTTGTTTGTAATACATGTGGGTTTGTTGAGACTCTATGACTTGTGACCAAGTTAATTATAACTTGGTATGAGTAATGAGATTGATGGTTGATGATTATGTGTACACTCTTAATTATAAGTTGTGGATAATGCACAGTGATGAATTGTATGAGCATGTTGAGTTTTATGTGATGCTAATGTAGTTTTATATGATAATATAAAAATTGGTGCAAGAGGCATGATTGAAATATGATGATTCTTGATGTTTGTTGAGCAAGAAAGTTGATGAGCATGTGGGATAATTGTAAATTATATATGTGAGTTTTTGAAATGTATTTTCTCATGAGCATTATCATATGGCGGGAGTTCACCTTAGTGAAGGAGTTAGCGATTTTGCAAAATCCATATGATACTTGGCTATTAACCAATAATCCTAAGAGTTATAGTCACTACTTACCTTGTAAGGTACTGTAGCATTATTCCTATTAAGGGACTTGACCTTACTGGCCTACCTGGAGTTTTGGGTATAGCTAGTTTTGGATATGACACCCCATAGTGTGTGATTTGAGGGAAACTGTGTTCATAAGTGAGTAAGGTAACCCTGGCCCGGTAGCCCCTCATGATATAATTAAGGCCTCGAGTAGTCTCACCACATGGACAATCCCTTCCAGTTGTTGGCCCACGAATTTCATGTCAGAGAAAATAAGAAGGGATATAAGGAAGAGATTTATCATGCATATTATTATTATCATGCCATTTGAGTGATTGATGGCTATGTTGAGGATATGATTATAATTGTGGAAATGAGAACATGTCGTAATTATGTGAATAATGTATATGTGGCCATTTGTGCAAGCTTTGTCCTTAACTTTATTCTTGAGATTATTCACATTAGTTAAATGGTAATGTGATTAACATGTTATTAATGTGATTGTTTACATGGTCATCTTGATAAATTTATTAGCCACTTGCATTCGTAATTAATTATTATGCATTTGTATAACTTAGATGTGTCTTGGTTACTGAGTGATTGTACTCACCCCTCTCTTTTAACATATTATAGGAGCTAGCTCATCTCAAAAGAACAAAGGAAAGGAGCATTAGGCCAAGTGATAGTAATCACTTCTGTAGGCCTTTCTATTTTTATTTTGATATGTGTATTTAGTTTATGATATTGCCAACTAGGATAATATATTATTGATCCACTTACATTATGGGTTTTGTGTTGGGAAAAATGTATTTTGGGTACTGGGGAATGTGATTTGATGCTTAAGCTATATTAACAGGCCAAAATATTTGTGCAAGTGAAAATAGTTAATATTACCTAATTTGAGAACTTGAATGTTGTTATGGTCTCCCCTTATGTTTTTGATGTCTAAGGGTGAGCAATTGATATTAATTATATGTGAATGAAAAGAAAAATTCATGTATATGATAGGCTATTGATGAATAGATTATACAGAGCATGATAATTAGGTAATAGTTATTATGATAAATGTAATTGAGATCTTAACCCCCCGCTGTTAGTTATGGAAGGATTTGAGTGGCCAAGTGTTATGTTGTAAATATGTATATATGTATTGTAGAGTAAGGCATAGAGAGAAAATAAAGGGGGAAGCTCTTCTCTCATGTTGATATGTTTCCTTTATCATGCTTCTGCATATGTTTAATTGAATAATACGAGTTCTTGAAATATTTTTAAAGATTTGGGATCCCTTTATATTGAATCGTTTGTAAAAATACATGTTAAGAATTTGTTTAGGTTACTCTCTTATAGGATAATCCTTTTGGGTTAGTGCTTGATTTACTATAATTAGTCTGATGATTAAATCCTAATTTATGACACCCTTTTCAATTTATCTTTTTGAGACTATATTATCATTCTTCCATTCCTTTGCCAGTTTTGGACTGACAAGTTCTAGTATGAGTTTTAAGTCATTGTAGATTCAAATAACTCTACCCTCACCTCCTCCTTTGCTCTCTCCCTTCTTCTTTTAATCTATGTGAACTACTCCTATCTTATAAAACATTTTTTATAAATAAAAAGTTTAGGTAAGTTGAATCCAAGGTAATCATTAGGGTAAGGGTATGCTTTCAGGTTCAATGAACATTTATAGAAGTACTTACAGATTGAGCATTCACCAACAAATTAAAATGATTACATTGACAATGAAATTTGAACACTTATGGGTTATATGGGCAAAATTCTTACCAACTAGACCAATATTAGTTGGTTTAATAAAACATATTTTGATAAACACCAATGAAATTGATTAGATGAAGCTAGGAATCTTCATTTTTCGTTTGAACTTTCAAATATATCCTTCGTTTAATAAAACAATAGAGTAGGAAGACATGTATGCGTGTGTGTCTGTATTTATATTTAAGTGTAATAATGAGGGGTAATTTTAGAATGAGTTTCATTAATGAACCATTATGTTTTTTCCCAAAACATTTTATTCACTTCCTTCATATTACAATATAAGTTATTGTTAACTAATTTATATTTTTTAAAAAACTTAGTTAAAATCTTAATTTTCTAAAAATTTTCATATCTTTCCTAACTTACCCATGAGTGTAATAAATATAACCTTTTGAATTATTCAAAATACCCTTATTAATTTCTCAATGAAGTAAGATGTAATTGAAAAATATATACATAACACTTACTCGATGCCTATATTTTAGACTAAATAAAATTTTTAAAAAATGACTTATATTATGATCCGGATTGGAGTGAGGGAGTATATTATAGCACAATAAATCACTACAAAAAACAACTTATAAAATGAAGGAAAGGGAGAAGTTATTTAGATCCTACATTTATGAGAAAAGTGACCTTTTTTTTTTTTTTCCGTCGTTATCTTTGGTCATTTGGCTCACAGCAGGTTAGGATTCAATATTCAATGGCATCTCATGCAAACTCCTCTGCTTCATCAAATTGTTATGACATTGTGGAACACATTATGATCGATATAAAAACCAAACCGAATGAAGATCTGATCAACGCAACTAAGTGTAACAACATCTACAGAGTCCTATGCAATCTTCGGAAGCTGAATAAGGATGCCTGCACTCCTCAGTTGGTTTCAATAGGACCACTTCACTATGGTGAGAAAAAGCTAAAACCAATGCAAACGCACAAACTTTACTACTTGGATGTCTTCAAGGAACGTGTCAAGGGCAACATTGGAGCCCTGCACAAGTTCAAGGCCTTCCTTAAAGAAAAAGAACAATAAATACGCCAATGCTATGCAGAAAGTCTGTTCCCCAAGATCAAGTCGCAAAAGTTGCTGGACATGATGTTATTGGATTCTGTATTCATCATGGAACTATTTCTGAGGATTCAGGAGCGATGATGATGTTATAATGAAACAAACATGGCTGAACAAGATTATCCAGAGAGACTTGCTTCTGCTTGAAAATCAGATTCCATTGGTCATCTTGGAAGAGTTATACAGCTCTGTCGTCCCCGCCTCCGTTAACAAGCGGTGCAAATTCATCGAGGTCGCTTACGATTACTTCAAGTGTTTTCATCCTTATAAACAAGATTGGGCTCATCCCGAGCCCTCATCCAGGTTTGAACTAGTGAAGCAGAAGTGGAAAGATAATGCTCCAGTACATTTCACTGATTTCCTAAGTACGTACTTTTATCTCCAAAAGCACTGTATTTAATTTCCAATGGTAATCTTGATATTCAAATACTGTTTCTTGCGTCGACAGCTACTTTTTTTTTTTTTTTAAGAAAAAAGACTAGTGACTTTGGTTGTATAACACTTTCTTTCGCAAAACATGTAAGGCATTTTTTTAGAGTTTTATTATTAAAAAATAAAAAATATCTTTAATGTTTCAAGATGTAATTAATATGTTTTTTTTTTGAAGATGTCACAAATAAATAGATCATTTTATATTTATCGTAAAGTGAAATACATAATTAAATAGGAGTAAATATGAAAAATAGTATTTATTTGAAGATAACTAACAATTTTATTGAAGTAAAATTTGGTTAAAAATACCTTGTAATTTTTAACACAGAGAGTATTGATTATATATTCTTACATTCCTATTACTATAATTATAATTAGATCTATAATATTTTGTATAGTCTTTTTTTTCATAATTTCAGCTCTATAGTTTAAAAATTTATAAATACGTTCAAGTTTTATTTGGTTGGCTTTTCTTCATTTAAATTTCCCTCTACTTCCTCTCCATAGCACATCACAACCATTATATCTAATTTTAGACAAACTAGGTTTAATATTTTAAAAAATATTTTTTTAATATTTTCACTGAAGTTTTGAACTATTCAATTCAAGTTTCGGTAGTTTGGAAATATTCCTTTATGCTCTCTCAGTAGTTTGCATATCGATATCACTAACAACAAACTGACAAATTGTTGAAAGGATTTTATTTGATGACTAAGTACTTCTATCTTTGTAGGGAAGTGATTGATCGTGAAAAAGGGTTGCCCTCTGATGTTCTAAGGACAGTAACTAAGTTGAGGGAATCTGGAGTGAGCTTTGAGAAAATCGCCAACCCACCCTTACTAGGCATAAAGTTGGAGAAAGTTAAAATCTTGAGTTGGTTTCTGTGCTTGGGTTGTCTACCAAAATCCTCGTACTTCAAAGCTCGTTTGCAAATCCCACAATTAAAAGTGGATGACACAACAGAATGTGTTCTAAGAAACCTCAGAGCCTTTGAGCAATGTCACTATTCGGATCAACCTTATATTTGCAACTATGTCTCTCTCATTGACTCTCTCATTCACACCAAAGACGATGTTGAATTGCTAGTTGAGAAGGAAGTCATTGTCCATGAACTTGGGAGCGACAAGGAAGTGACGACTCTAGTGAACAGTCTCTGCAAACATGTTGTGGCGGACAAGACATGCTATAAAAAGATTATAGATGATTTGAATGAACACTACCCGAGAAAATGGTATCGTACTATGGCTTCGTTGAGGTTGGTATACTTCAGAGATGCTTGGAGAGCAAGTTCTACTTTGGTCGGAATTGTTGTCCTCGTATTCACAATTTTCAACTTTTGCCGAGTTATCAAATTGGTCCTCTACCTCGATCAAAGGCAACCTAATTAATTAGTCATGATCATGGCATCTTTGAATTATAAGTAACTAAAATGACTGTTGATTCTGTGATAAATAATGTGAGAAGTTCTTCCTGCTGGTGCTTTTTTCAGAATTTGGTGAATAATATGTGATCTTAGTAATATGTATTATTAGTGGAAGCCTCTGAATCTGAATGTGTAGAAGTTTAGAAATATGTCTTCAAATATCAGTTGCATAAATAAAGCATTCATGGTGCTACTTTATTTTTGTGAACTTACGAAATGACTTGGATTCTAGTTCTCTATAGTAGTTATGATAGTAGTATCATCGTTGTGAGTAGGGATAAGACTGTATTTTGAAATTTTATTTATTTTATCCACTTTTTCCCCCATAATTTCTCTTCAGGTGCACCCTCTTCAATAATGGAGTTTTGATTCATTAACAAAAAGACTTTCATGTATGTATTTTCTTCATTTCATTTCATTTCTTTTTCTTTTCTTTTTTTTGACATGCATGAGTTATGCCCAAAACAGCGACACATGCATGAAATTCTTTTGGGCTTTGACCCCTTCCTTTTACAAAAAAAAAATAAAAATAAAAATGACAATAATAATAAAATAAAGTAAACAGCGACACGTGAAGACCTTTTTCTAAGACCTATAATTAAGCTTAAAGGTAATAAGTTTTAAAAATTTAAAGAAGGATTAAGTCTTCTTATTATTATTTTTAGTACTACCGTACAATAGATGACTATTGAAAGTCAAATGCATGTTGAAAATTATTGATATTAAGTTGACAAAAAATAAGAGTTGTTCTTTTCTTTTTTCTTTTTTTCCGGTAAGAGATCCTCACAAAAGGATGACTACTAAAAAATTAAAGGATTGTTCAGGTCGAGAAAAAAATCAAAGGTTTGTTAGAAATTTGTGGAAATTTAGTTTTTTAAAAAAATCAGAGATATTTAGGTCGATTTTTTTGTAATGCCCCCTTGTGACCACTTGAAAAAAATTCAAGGGAAAATGATATTTAATGACCTTTTAAGAATATTAATTATAGTTAGTTGAGATTTAAAAAAATTTTGATTGAATTTTTCAGTACTTATTTTCATAGCTCTAGCACTCATTTTTTACATTTTCAATAGGCATCTTTAGTTTTTTCAATACTCATTTAATTTTTTTTTTTTTACAATAGATGTTTTCAGTACTTATCTTCTATATATGGTTTTAGTACATACTGCAAAAAAGATAAAATAAATATTTTTCAATATTGAAACATGGAACATGAATATTGAAAATACCTAAGATGACTACTGAAAAATTGAATATGTATTGAAAATGCTAAACATAAATACTGAAAATATAGAAGATCAGTACTGAAAATTAACCCAAGAAGATGCACTTTGGGTCTAGAGATAATTTAGTGTTTGTGGATTTCTCTTTACAAGATCCCAAAGAATTTTGAGCATGATGGGTGGAGTGTGGATGTAGTAATCTTAGTTAACTTGGTCTTTGACTTAGTAGCTACATAAGGCTTTTAGATTTTTCTTAATTAATATTCTTTTAATTATTTTAAGGCATTATATTGGATATATAATGCATTATATTCTAAGTGTATAAATAGGGGTCATCACTACTAAAAAAAATCATATATATAATGCATTATATTCAACAATGACGATTATGTGCAAAATCATTGAATAAAAATTTTAATATTCAATTTGATAGAAGAGGTCAATAAGCCGAGAACAAATATAATGCTGTCAATTTTTTTTTTTAAATTTTAGTTTGCCCTTAAATAGAACAAATATGAGCATCATTAAAGTTGTTTGAAGTAGTTTAACATTTTGTTAGATTAAAATAGTGTAAATAGAAGGCATAATGCTTGGGAATACCCATTTGAACCTATTAGGCTGCTGATTTTCTTTTTTAAAAGAAATTTTATTTTACCCTTAAAAAGAAAAAATATGAGGATAGTTGAAGTTGTTGAAGTAATTAAACTTATGACTCATAAATATTTTCTTGTCTTTACTATCTTTCTTAAATAAAGGCATTATAGAGATAAGAAATGGATGTTTGTCAACTAGCTATCTAAAGAATATTAGGATGTAGTGGCAAACTTCATTAAAATAGTAAATAATGCAAAAAAACTATGAGCAAATTGTTTGCCTTTGTTTAAGTTGTGACAATGTGAAATTAGTTTCTCCTAAGACATGTAAATTCTACTTGTTCAAGTATGGAATTTAAGTATTGGGTAAAGCATAGAGACATACCTGAAGATGTAAATAATAATAGTAAAGAGTATATGGAAAGCAATTCATCATTACCTGAAGATGTGAATGATAAGTATTGGGGTTGGCTAATCACTTTTTTAATCAATTTGAGGTCTCATTTGGTTAACACAAAGGCTAGAATTGGTAATTAACTTCATAATCAATTGTTTATTTTTAAGCACAATAAGTTCCAAGGGTTAATTTAGGGTCCTAGTTAATCTAAAGAACCTAAGAGTGCTAAATTCCTAGTGGTTATTAGGATGACTTTAAAACCAATTAAGGTTAAGAGAAAATTAATTAGATAGAGCAAGGATAAGAGAGGGAGTTCATGTGCCTAGGAAGATCATCATTTTTTCATTTTAACCACATATTTCAACAATTTTTCAAATCTATCCAAAATCTTGAAAATACAAAAAAAAAAAGTTTGCATTTAATCTTTGCTTGTTTAGTTCCTAATCAATCAAACCCAATTAAATTGTTTCTATTCTTGGTAGATTTAAGTAACTAAGGTGTTAATTTTTAATCAAATCCATGAGAGTTGACCTAGGTTGCTCCCATATACATAACAGGGTATTTCTTAGTTTAATTTGGGAGCTTAAGTGATAGTACACATAAACCAGTTTACATGTTTGGCCTCAACTATAAGAAGACACATGCTTACCCCAATGATTGTATCTTGTTTAGGAATGAACATGAAGACTTAACCTAAGTGTGAGGCATCACACTATAAGCAAAATGGGAAGAGTTTAGAGAAGGCAATGTAGTATTTTCCTATTATTTCAAGATTTAGGCATTTGTGTAGCATACATCAAGACAAAAAAAAAATTTAACATGGCATGCAAATGGAAGGATTAAAGATGATGAGATTCAGCATCCATTTGATTCTCCTAAATGGATAAGATTTGACTAAAAGATAGGAATCTACGCCTCACATTTTCTACCAATAGGATGAATCCATGTAGGATGCAAAGCAATACCTATTGTACATGGCTTGTGATGATGGTCATTTATAACCTTCCTCCCTTGCTTTGCATGAAATAAAAGTATATGATATTGTTTTTGCTAAATCGGGGCCTAAGAAACCTAGGAGTGGCATAGATGTTTACTGAAAACCATTAATTAAAGACTTGAAGATATTGTAGGAGATAGCTGTGAAGATATATGATGCTTACAGAGAAGAGATATTTAGTTTGAGAGCCATGCTTTTCGATACAATTAATGACTTTCTAGCTTGGTAATTTGTCAAGGTATAGCATTAAAGGACAACTTGAATGCCCTATTCATGAACAAGGCACACATTCGATGAGGTTGCAATATGGTATGAATTGATTGGTGAAGAATTGTTTCACCAAGTAAAAGACCTTGATATTGAAGATGGCAAACCATTTGTGAAGCATGTTAGAACAAGTAAGTCAAAGAAAATGTCAATTTTTCATTGAGTTTCATACTGGAAGACCTTGAATGTGAGACACATCCTCAATTTGATGCATATTGAGAAAAAAATATGTACAATGGTTTTATTGAGATGTTGCTTCATATTCCAGGAAAGACCAAGGATGCCATCAGTGCAAGGTTAGATATGGTTGAGATGGGGATAAGAGAAGAACTAGCACCACAAGAGAAGGGAACTATTACATTTCTTCAAGCAGCAACTCACACATTATCTAGAAAAGAAAAGAAAATTTTTTAAGAGTTTCTTAATACAGTCAAGGTTTTGGATGGTTACTCTTAAAACATTCAGAGCCTTGTCTCAATGAAGGACCTAAAATTGAAGGGCTTAAAGATTCATGATTCTCTTGTTTTGATGCAGAATTTTATTTTGGTAGCTTTATATGGTATTTTACCCAATAATGTGCAAGCTACAATCATGAAGCTATATGACTTGCTTAGGTGCCTCTATAGTTAACTAATTAACCCTAACAAGTTACCAAAGTTGTAAAGCAAAATTGTGCAAACATTATATGAGTTGGAGATTATTTTTCCCCTCTTACATTCTTTGATATCATGGACAACCTAACTATTTACTTGGTTAAAGAGGTACAATTATGTGGCCCTGTTTATTTGAGATGGATATACCCATTTGAGTGTAATATGAAAGTATTAAAAGGGTATATGAAAATTCAATCAACCAAAAGGTTTCATTGCTAGCCTATATATTAGTAAAGAAGCTATTCACTTTTGCAGTCAATATTTAAAGAACTCAAGGGATATTAGTGAAGAAGATAAATAAAGGACAACGAGAAGAAAAGTTATCACTATCTCAAGTGACTAATGGACAAAGTATAACTTTTTGTGCTATACAACTCTCTAGAGGGTTCACAAGTATGTAGAGATTTACAAGATAGAGTTGAAGAGGTAGTACCATTATTAATTATAGAGTTTTATTATCAAAACAATAAATAGTTCATATATTGGTTGAAAAAACACATCAAAGGGAAGTACAATGTCGATCCTAATTTAGTTCTTAATAGATTGAGATGGCTGGCATAAGGTCTAAATAAATATATCCTCTCTTACACAAGCTCTACCAGATATAGGAACAAGTTCTACATGAAGGAGCATGATGACCAAAGCATAATGCAAAATAATATTGTATCTACCATCAGTGATGGTATGCACATCTCCAATGCAAAAGATAAAAAACCTATCTATCCAAAAATGCATTACTTTGATGTAATTGAGAAAATTTATGAGTTAGATTACATCTCCTTTCAAGTTTTTGTCTTCAGTTGCAAGTGAGTTGAATATAAGAATGAGCTAGATGTTGATGACTTTGGGCTGATTAAGGTAAATCTAAATAAGGAAGGGTTTAGAGAGGATCCTTTCATTTTTTCATCCCAAGCCAAACAAGTTTTTTTTTCCATGATCAAGCTAATAAGAAACAATCTATTGTTTTATGGTGTAACAAGGAAGTTGAAGAAATTGAAGATGTAGAAAATGAGCAAAATTAAAGAAATGATGAGGTTTAAGTTGATATGT